GCTAACGAAACCCTTTCCACCCTATTCGAAAGAAAATACGGTACGAGTATGCGTTTTATCTTATTTCGCAACAGTCCTATCTAATTATTCGACATGAAAATGAAAACATATGGAGAGTACTCGTATGTGATCTTCCACCCATGTAATTTAACAAGCACATTGACTCTCTCTCTCTCTCTCTCTCTCTTTCTATTTTTCTCTTCATTGAACGAATGGATTATTATTATTATTATTATTATTATTAGTTTTATTAACTCCTTATCGAGCTAACAAGCTACTGATGTAATCGACCTAGCGCATACGTGCATACAAATACATATATTTATGTACGTGTGTGTGTGTGCGTGTACGTGCATAATGCTCGATTACGAAGGACAGACTCATCGTTTCTCGAGCAGAGATTTTTTTCTAAGGAAACATGAGATAAGAAGTCGTACAAGCTGATAACGGAGTCTTTTCCAAAGTCCGGCGATGAGAAGAACAACGGGCAAGAAGAGATAGAAACTTTTAAAATATTATACGTTAGAAAATCCACAATCTAAAATAATTCAAAGAAATGTTATATCGAATTAAATATACAATAATTAATCAGTTAGCCAAAAGATTTTGTACTTCCTACGAAAAAACGCAAAACTGATCGTCTCTTATTTTTTTTTTTTTGGTGACCATTCTCATTCATTCATTCATGTCGTTTCTTCGAAGAATTTTTAAAATCCTTAAATATCACGTATTTCGTATATGGCCCCCATGTGCGTTACGAGAAACACCCGAAACACCACCAACGTGTTCTCTGTTCTCTTTCAATGGGGAATTCGACTTCGAGTATTATAAAAGAATATTCGTGTATTGAAGGTGCGAAGAAACTCAGCTATATGTTCAGGCTCCTTCAGACTTTATCGGAGGAGGGTTCATGTGGAGTATACGTATATATATATATACTGGAAGAAAAAGGAAAGCAAAGGGAACGTGACGAAGATGAGATGAGACGAAACGAGACGAGTAGAACGAATAGGAGGAAGAAAGATAGAAAGAAAGAATGAAAGAAAGAATGAAAGAAAGAAAGAGAGAGGGAATGGTCGGCACATCATTTGGGCGCCGAGAAGTCTGGCGTGACCAGGGCAGGCCAGAGGCGCGTCTCTGGTTACGCGACCATTTGGGGCGCCAACACTCATGCATAGAGAGAGAGAAGAATCGTGGGGAGAGGGGAAAGCAAAAGCCATCGGAAGATCGTCGACGGGGCCATAGTAGAATGGCAAAGGAAGGAAAACCAAGAGAGAGAGAGAGAGGAGGGGAACAGGAGGCCCCTTAGGCACATTCCAGCGGGACTCGAGTTTTCAAACATGGCTACCCGCGTGAATGTAGGTCCACGACCGATCCTACGATACGCAGAGAGCAGCGGCGTGCTGTCTTTTTCTCTCTTTCTCTTTTTCCTTCTCATCCCCATCACCGCCGGACTCTCTTCTCCGTTGCACGAGCGCGATTCGCTTTAACCTCCCTCCTACTCTACGACGACTAGCAGCACACATACCGGAATCCCCCTCCTTACGTCCCTGTTCGTCCAACTTCTCCTCCTCCTCCTCCACCTTCGCCACCACCTCCTGCTGCTGCTGTTACAGCCACTACCCCTGCCCCTGCCCCTGCTCATGTCCCCTTTCCTCCTTTCACCCGTCGATCTTCTCTTTCCCTCTCGTAAACCCAGCCGACCAAGCCGACCGAGCTGGCGACACCCTGTCTGGCAAGACCGGCCGACGACGGACAAAGGAGGGGGAGCTCTGCCTGCTGGCTGCCATGTTGCCACATTTCTTTCCTTGGGCTGCGCCTACCTTCTCGATCCCAAGGACAAATTCGACGAGCCGTGCCAGCCGTCGTGGCGCGCTAGGCGACTGCCGGTCTGACTTAGCTGCTGCCGCTGGCTGCTGCTGCCACTGCTGATGCTGCTGCTGCGCCACGTCCGTCGCATCAATCTGCTCTTTTTTTTTTCTGTTTTTTTTTTTTTCTTTTTTATCGCCGTCTCTTTCCTTTCTCTATCTATCCTTTCCTTTCGTTCAACAACTCTATTTAACGGGATTTAGATTGTGGGATTTACATGGGAATGAAAATTTATCGTGCAAAAGAAAGAAGAATTATTATTTTTCCAACGAGAGAGAGAGAGAGAGAGAGAGAATTATCCGATATGACGAAACGTGTCTCCTGTTGCGAGCAGATCGCAATCGTAGCTCGAGATTTCGATCAAATGCCAAAACGATGAGCTGTTACGGTACGAAGGTCGATACGGAATGGAGAAAGCAGGTATATTCCCTCTTTTGCTGCCGAAAACCTTGGAGATCAGTTTCATACCTGACTCGAACGTTAACCCTCCTAATTCTAGAAAAACGGTCAGGCTAGTTTTCTTTTGGGAATTTCCAAAAGAATACCGACGATACTTTTATACTGAAAAACTGTTGAAGTGGACATGAAAATTTACGACCCCGTCCCTTTTTCTTAATCTTTCTCTTTCCATCTTTTGTTTCCCTTCCTCTCTTTCTTCTTCCTTTCCAAGTCACGTCGATCGCTAGCTAGCTAGCTAGCTAGCTAGCTAACTTGTCGGTTCGTTCGTTCGTCGTATACTCTCGTCTCGTCTCTTCTCTCTGTCGTCGTCGTCGTCGTCGTCGTCGAAGAAGTATGTATACGTGCCAACGCGCAGCTTGCGTCATCGCCTCGCGAGTTGGCCTACGCGCAAGACGTAGAAGCATGGCAACCGCGCGGACGCGTAGCTAAACGTATTAACCGTCGACTCCATGCCACAAAAACAACATGATCTCATTTCGCGGCGCATACACCGAGAAATCCGTGTTTCGTACTTGCGAGCATTTCGCGTTCTCTTGCTATCCCGATTTCCAAGAAGTCCCGCAATTTCCACCATCGAAAGGTTTTGCCATTAACTTAAAGAGAATGAAATAAATAAAGTAGGAAACTGGTCTTTCGTATCGTCATAAATTCGTGGAACCTAACGGTAATCCTAAAAAGATGACAATTATAACAAAGAAAAAGAAAGTTCCAATTGTATTGGCCTATAGATTTAATACTAAAGACAATTTCTACCCTGATATAACTCTACCTATTACACGATAAGTCTAAGCGGTCATGGGCACTTTCCTGGAAGACAAAATCCCCTCGCTTCCTCCCTTTAAATACCACCTACATCAGCATTTCCTCCTCTACACTTCTTTACCACCGTCATCTACGTAAAGCAAAACTTTCCTCCTGTTCTACGGCTCGTCGCGTTAAGATCGATGATTGTTCTTTATTATTTTAACAATATCTACCGTCTCTTTAGATCGTGACGGAAGTAATACTTAAAAAAAACAAGTAAAAAAGAGGAGGAGGAGGAAGTACGATACAAGAAAGAAAAGAAAAGAATCAATCAGAATCTTTTGTATCCCGTACACGTATTCTATTTACTTCTCTAACTCTTCTTGTCACGATACCCTACGTCATCGTTATATCACACAACGAATGAACGAGTTGCGCCTGGCTGGCTGGCTGGCTGGCTAGCTGGCTGGTTGGCTGCATCTCTTGTTCTCACGAGTCCGAAGACTCGTTTTTATTAGGCTCTCTTACGAACGCAATCCCGAGATAGACGGGTGACTTAGAAACGAGAGGAGTATATACATAGGACGATGCAACCGTGCTAATTTTATCCAAAATGCATCTATCGTTCCTTGAAAGACGTTTCCCTTTTGGAAGGGAAGAAGAAGGACAAAAATTCATATATATAGCATAGCAAAAAAAGAGTAACGGGGAGTGAGAAAGAGAGAGACAGAGATCAGAGCGTGAAACGCGCGAAAGAAAACATAGGCTATGGTAGTATTAGTTTGCTGGTGCTGTTAGAGTTCTACCGTCCTTCTGGACGGAGATTGAAAGGAGAGAAAGGCCCGCAAAAATGCACGGCTCCGCGCTGGCTGCCGTTGCGCCAGCGGTGGTGGCGGCGACGGCAGCGGCGGCAAACGGCTGGACGAGAGAGACCATGGCAGACAATATGGCGCCGGTGGAGCAGCGTCGTCACGCTGCTGTGACGTTTCCCGCGCACGTCATCGACGGAAGCGAGCCTGCAATATGGCGGAGCAGCACAAACCCTAAGCGAGGTGCGAACGAACGCCCGAGACGGTAGAGGGGACAGCGGGTGGGGCGCCTACGCTCACGGCTAGAAGAGGAGATCAAGAAAGAGATAGACGACAGCGGGCTGGAGGTGATATGTATGAGTAGGATATATATGTGTGTATAGATGTGAGAAGAGGGTGAACAGTGTAGAGAAGGGAGAGGAGACGCATGCATGCATACACGCGCACATATAATATATACACGGAGAAGAAAAAGAAGAACTAAACGGGCGACGGTGGACGGTGGACCAGCCAGCCGGCCGCGCGCTCGTTTGAGAAGAACCGAGTTAAGCTCCAGACGAAGGGAGGGGGTACGGTTTACTGAGAAGAGAGGCATAGAGGGGAGGTGAGACAAAGCAAAACGGAGAGAGCGCCGGTGTCGCATTCTGACCAGCAGCAGTGGGGGATATAGACTACAGGAGAAAGAAAGAGATAGAATAGAGGGAGATCAAAGAGAAGGGGAAAAGAGCGTTTCGGTGGGAAGTGGCTACGGTCTCGGACTCGTAAGAGGGGATGAAAATTAGTTACGGCATCTACCAAGACCTAAAAGGAACTCCGTACTCCGTGCGGTCAGACTAGTTCGTGTGATGTTACGCGCCGAGGTACCCCCGTGCATCGTCGTCGTTTTAGTCATTTTAGTTTTTGTTCCCGTAAAGTTGTTCATAGTGCCTCTAGTGTTTCGTCCTGTTCAACGTACCACGTTTTATTATTGTGTTAAATAAAAAACTTATGTGATTATTCATTGACACGCCTTTTGACGCACTCGCAAACATACTACATGATAGTTGCCCCATTACGTGCTTGTCTCTCGCCATGACCCGTGGTACTAGTGAGATACTCGCAGAGGGAACTACGGTGAACATGGTGCATCGCAAACAACAGCGATCGCTCCATCAACAACAACAGCAACAGCAGCAACAACAATCGTCACAACAAAACGTACGGAAGTCAGTGAGTGTGATGGGAAGCAGGCGCATATTTGCACCGTCCTTTAAGCTCAAGGTCCTTGATTCTTATAGGCATGACATCGATTGTCGTGGCAATCAACGCGCTACAGCTAGAAAGTATGGCATACATCGCCGACAGATACAAAAGTGGCTTCAATGCGAAGATAATTTGAGAAACAGTTGCGCCGAAACTAATAATTCGAACTCTATAGTATCAGCTTCGTCACCGTCGTTGTCCTCTTCTTCTTCTTTATCTTCCTCCTCGTCGCCGACGTCAACGACAACGGTGATCTCGAAACAACACGACGTAACACTGTCGACATCGGAAGGGGCTGCGATGCCCGGCGTGACTCCAGCGGTGCCGGCGCCGGCCTTGAACCTCGGTCTCGCCAGACTGCACGGCGACGAGTCGACCGTCCGGCCCCCCCTACCTCTTCTTCCGTCACGTCCTCTTACTCGAGATTCGCCCTCGTCACCACGGTACACGCATTCAACATCCGAAATCGTTCCATCGGCTACGACCACAACCACAACGACGATGACCATCGTTGATGGGTATAGTAATGGGCCACGTGATCAACACCAACGTTCAGGATGTCACGGCGAAATCGAAAATGAATCGATGCATCAAATTTCCGCGTTGAACGAACGCGAAAGGAACTTTTACGATTGGAATAGTAGTATCGAGGAACAACGTAAGCGTCATTTTGAAAGTAATTCCCATTACGATATCGTCAACGAGTCTAAATTATACGGAACGTTCAAGAATTCTTTCCGATCGAGTATTCAAGATTTCCCATTCCAATTGATGGAAACCGCTGCGTCAACGATTACCAGTAGTCCTACTACTACTCCTGGTAGCGTCGATTCATCCTCAATGGACGGAATTGCTTATTGTAGAACGATAACGCCGTCAATGGTAAAAACGGAATGTTCAAGCCCAGTCATCGCGGCTGCCTGGACGGAACATCCAGCACCTATCTCTCCTAAGAAAGCTACGCGAGTAGCAGGTGTTAACGATTGCTACGGTGGAAGTAACACGTCCACCGTCGTTCTTTTAAATGAATCTTTATATTCGAACAAGTGTTCCGAGTCAATTGGAAAAAGAAATCGTATGACTGTATTAGAATTAGAAAATATGGAAGATAAAAGACGAAGGTTATTCTGTGACGTCAGAATCAAGAAGGAAGAGATAGACGAGGAGGAAGAGGAAGAATCAAGGTTACCCGGAGAAGAAGAGACCCGCGAAGGGGACCGGGTGCCGTCATTTTGCATCGATTCTCATCCAGCAGGACGGACTACGTTTCCCGTTGACTCTAGGAGTCCCGATGACGATCAAGAGGGAATCTATTATTCCGAGCCTGGAAGTATTTCAGCGAGATCCAGTAGCGGCAGTTGTTCGGACAGCGAAATGGAAAGCCTAGTCGAGTATTGTCAATCTAACGAAACTAGGACTTCGTCGAACGATTTAGGCCGACGAAGATCCTTCTCTTTGCGTTTCAAACTCGACGTATTGGATGCTTTCCATCAGGACATAGGAGTGGCAGGAAATCAACGTGCAACCGCGAGGAAGTTTGGCATTAATCGTCGCCAGGTACAAAAGTGGCTCGGCCAGGAAAGCGAGTTAAGAGGCGAAATTGCATTGAGGGGTAACGCTAGACAAAGATTAGGTCCGAGCCAAGAACAAACGATCATTTCGTTAGACTTTCCAGTCGATTTGAGAACAAATTATTCCGTTTCGCCTATTGCCGAGGAGGAATGCGTTGATGTAGAGTACATTGAACGATCTATGCCATTTCACGTTTTACCGAATCAACAAAGTGGTGATTGTTGCGAATGGGCATCCCCGTCGTCGACGTCTCTTCCAAATAATCGGCCAACTAATTTATCACCAGAAATCCTATTAGAATCATCGAGGATTTGTACAAGATATTCGTGTTGCATGGAAGGATCAAATTCATCTTGTTATCAAGAGCTACGTTCCTCCCGAGGATCATCCTATACGGATTCCGTAACCGGACTATCGTCCCATTGTTATTTATCACCACGAGAATACAACGAAACTGGGCCGGAGGAATCGCCAAATAAACGACGACGATGTACGGCTACGTTATCCTGTTGTTACGATGAATTTATTTTTACCTCACCGAAAGGATCTATTCGCATGGATACGGATGAAACCCCGCCGCAGGAGGCGCCACTCTGTCTGGTCAAGCAAAAAAGATGCTTAGATTTCTCTCCGTCGCTAGTAGAACCAGTCACGAGTACTGTTCCAACTCCTCCAATCTCGCAGCAAGTACAACCACAACCACAACCACCATCAGCACTACCACCATCAACAACAACAACAACTAATAGTAAAGATGCCATACTCTTCAAGCCTTACTTAGACAATCCTATAAGTAAACCTAGCAAGGAGATTGGTGTTAATCGCGATCCCTCACCTTTCGGAACTCACAATCTTCTTAACCACGACAATAACAACTGCCAGAGTTTATGCAATCTAAACGAGGACCGAATTGGGCATGGTTACGCTATCGAACTCAATCTTAAAGTACCGTTGTCTTGGAGGAATCAGAGTAGTAGTACACTGTACCCCGATTTCCATCCTATAAGAAGCGCATTCGTTAGGTATCCGACTAGTAGTCCACACTTCATCTAGCCCTATTACCGTCGTCAATTTTATTATTTAAATTTGTCGAACACATACAATATTTTAATTACCTTACGAAGAACGGAACAGGTGTATGGGAAGTGCAACGATTTCTTAATAATATTCGTTACATGTATATACATATATATATATATATAAAGATGAGACTAAAGTTCACAATGTTAACAATATTTTTTCAATCAAAGGATAATGCAAGGTAATAAAAATTAGGAAATATAGTGGTGGGGGGTCCAGTGTTACGATGATGACGATTAAATATACCGCGGGAATCTGTACGTGATCTACGACACGTAGACGAACGTCTTTCAACGAACAAGTTCTTATCTTTTCCGTGGATCGACGCCTGTCAACATCGTAACATGGTTGTGTTTTAGCGATAAGGAATGTATAATCCGCCGGCCATTGGTCAAGAAAGAAAAGGGAATAGGAGCCACCACTTGTATTCTTCTTCTTCTTTTTTTCTTCTCAATATCTTCCTATTCCAGGCCCCACCCCCCTTATTACCCCCAATTGCCCCCCACTGTTATCACTTCGATGATTTAGTCGACGCTTAATCAGCGTCGGTTAACTTTTCCGAGATTAAAACCTGGTGACTACTATCAGCTAGGCCGTTTAGAGGTCGAGTACGCGTGCTATAATTACGGAATTATGTCAGCTGCCCACGTGATCAAAGAAAAGATAAAGAATTTCATGATTTTCGATTGGAAACGTGTGTGTGTGTGTGTGTGTGCGTGCGAAAAAAAATTTAGAAATAATATATCGATATAGGTTTCGTATAATAATTTATCGGAGGCGTATATATTAGTTTTAAAGAAAATATTTTTCTACGCCAGAGCCCCCTCTTATACTGCGAGATGAGGATAAACGAATTTTTAGATGTGGTTAGAAAATAAAGAAAAATAAAAAACAAATAATAGTAATAATAATAATAGTAATAATAATACAAAAGGGGAGGAAGGGTTAGTTAATGGAGAGGATAGAAAAAAAAAAAGATAAATGGTAGCCATCGCGTGAAGAAAATGGCCGAAAATTTAAGGGGAATTCGTGTCGCAACACAATAATAATTATAATAATAATAATATCGACGATTCAGAAACGCTTCCGTTCGAGAAAGATCAGAAAACTACGCGTGCCTTTTAATTTTTTCTTTTATTCAATCGTGAGCACATAGATAATTTTTTGTTTTGTCTATGTATTATATATTGTATAATGTACGTACGCGTACGTAGTGTATGTGTAGTATATTGCAATATGCATTTTGAACGCATACACCCCGCGTGCGTATAGGAAAAAAACTATATATATATAGGTTTCTAATTATAATATATTTATTAACCCTCCCGCCAACCCTTCTCGACACGGTTCGTTTCAATATGTCACATACA